ACTTTCTTATATCATTTACTGAATAACTGCACATGTTCCCAGTTACTTGTGTACTTTATTATATAATTAACTTCACTGGATCTTTATAAGTTTTAAATCAATTATAGCCATTCATTACTTTTGTTTGTTTCATTCTTATTTATATGCTTGTTTGTGCTGAGGAGGAAACCCAGAGCAAATGTGCTACAACTGAGTTACATTTTTAGCCACTTGTTACTTAATAGAGTGTCTTGGAATTTCTAGATATAAATCATATCTTTAGAAAATAAGTCACTTTTTCTCTTCTATATCAAAGCACACGTGTTATTTTGGGTTTTACATCCATTACTATTTTATAGATCTATTATGAATCTATTTATAGATCTTTTATTCTTACTTTTCACAGAAGAAAGAGTGCAGATGTGAGACATGCATAAATGTAATGTAGCCTCATCCTGGCCTCTTCATTGATAAGAATTCCATCGGTGAAAGAAGAGGTCAGGTGTCACCTTCGTAACATAAATCATCCCTAGGCAAAACCATGCAGACCACAACCACAGGCAAATATTTAACTATAAATTCAGAAAATTAACCATTTTTTTTTCAGTTAAATTAGATATATTTCCTATGCTCACCAGCCACTGCCACTAGTGGCTCTCAAACTGAAAAATATGCACAGAACATTTCTATTATCAGAGTTGTGGGCTGCTCTGCTGTAGCAGTCTCCATAGAGAGCCGTGGGCAGGAATCCCCCTCCCCATTCCATCCTTTCATCTCACATCATATTACAATCCAGCCTTACTACTGGAAGCAATATTTAAAATGCTAAATTTCAAACTATTTTTTTTCTGATACATATTTTCCTAAGCTCAGTATTGTCTTCTGCATCCGACTTGACTCCCCGTCTCTACGTTATGATGCACTATTCCTGGAAATCACATACCTTCCCTTGGCCAGAGGTATCAAAATGCTACCTGCCCCAAGTGTATATCAACTAGCATCTTTTTTTCTGAGAGATTTCATGCAGAATTATATTTTCTCTCCGCCTACTGAACATTTATATATGGGTTTACTTTCACTACCTCAAACTTATCTGAAAATCAAATGTTCTTCATTAACTTTTTCTTTCTCCCTATCCCAATTAATGTATTTAATATTTTATTTAGAGAACACATTCCAAAGAATGGTGAAATCACTTGTGCTTTTCACATAGCTCAGGGCATCCTCACATCTGGATGAGAGTAAACACAGAAGGGGTCTACAGTGACTCATGAATTAGAACACTAGAACTAGAACAAGGAATGACTTCCAGGCTGTATGGCAAAGACTAGCCAGGACAAAAAACTGGATGAGATAGCAGACCATTAAGGGCAAAATCCTCTCTTTTCTATTCAAAGCTCATAGAAATAATATACCCTTAATAAAGTACTCAACTTGGTGAAAATTTCCAACCCAGCAGGCACCAACTGTTAATCTTCAAAATCAGTCCAGTTTTCCCAGATTTCCTGGCTAGACATTCTCAGGTCAAGAGCATCATTGTGGACACCTAAAGCCATACAAAGGCTGATCAAGAGATCATTCTAATGAGAGAAGGGGATACTCTCATACTGTTATGGCTTATATTTCAATGCCCTTCAAAAGCCTCATGCACTCATAAGAGGGACTGTTGGGGGTGATTGGAAATTTGAGTGTGTGATACTGGATCATGGACATGTGATACTGGATTAGTACACTGATGAGTTTATTGCTTGGCGAGATGTTGACAGATTAAGCCTGGTGGGAAGAGATGGGTCACTTGGGGTGTGGTCTGGAAGTATACAACTTTTCTACTCCTTTGATTCCCTCTGCTTCCTGCCTGCCCTTCCATGAACTGTTTCTCTTCTGCCATGATGCCAGCTGAGTATGGACTGAAACTTCTACAGACTGTGAGTCAAAATAAACCTCTCTTCCTTTGATTTATGGGTGTCAGGTATTTTGTCCAGCAACAAGTAACTTAGGCACTTACCAAGCAATGGACTAAGACAAGCTACCACGGAGTGTCTGAGATCTTGGAAAAAGACTCAACTACTTAACTTCTGGGTTTTTTATATTGAGTAGCTGATCCTCTTGTTTCCTCCCTATACTAATAATTCATTGAAGGTCAGGATTGTATCTGTAATCTCATTGCCTGATATGTACAAAAACATAAATAAATTAATCTATCATCTCTTGTCCCTAGCCCTATAAATTTACCTTCACGGTTTTATAATCAATATTGTCCCTTCCATCTGTAAATCCAAAATAACTCCTTGAAATTATTTAAATTCTTTATCAAGGCAAGCTAGACTGTATGTAACTGGCCTAAAAATGTGAAACAACACATTTTGAGGTAGCCTACCAAGATGAGTGCCTGTGCTGAGGCTTTTAGCAAATTATTTATATTTGTCTTTTGCTGTCCCTAATCCTACTGAGAGTCTAAATTAGCCTACCATCCCTATAAACATTATACTGCCCCACTACCACTCAAGAATCCATGCCATATATTAGTGATAAAAAAATCTATGTGAGTTTACATTCAAAGAAAGCTTGAAAAAACTGCTTTCCATGACATCAGACCATTACTGTTTCTGTGATACATCCTGCTCCTGCAGGCTTCCTTACCTTTGCTCTGTACTCATCCCTCTACAAGTACTGGCCATCTTTTGAACATAGATCAAATGTTTTATCATTTCCATCATTAATGTTAGTCCAAATCCATTTCATATAAGAAAAAGATTATCACAGTCAAAAGAATGTTTGCTGCTTCACGCATTTTTCCTCCAATGTGTTTTTTTCCCCAGATTATCAGATGTAAAAATAAATGAGCTCTTGCTGTACTTTCAAAAGCAAAAACAGAAAAAAAAGATGGTTGACCCACAGTACACTAATTGTTGAATGTTATTAGTTACTGAATTATTTCATTGTGCTTTGTGAAGCCAGACATTACCAATATGTGTGTCTAAGTGTATAAAAAATGCAACCTTTGTAAACGAGTGTATTTCACAGATATGTAATTAAATTGTAATTTAAATTATCTGGATTACAGCTTAATTTCATATCATGAGTGATTGGGAATTACTCCAACCAGGTAATTAATACTTCTTTTTCTCATCAGTACATCCTCTCTCTTTTTTTTAAAGCATGATATCCTGGTATATTCTAAAATGGGACTGAATTCAAAAACTGGCAAAATTTCATAATCTCTCCATATGCAGTTCTGCAATAATTCAATTTATTTCTTCGTGGTGACAAATTTCTTACACTGATTATATGTCCTTTCCTCATTCATTGTGCTTCCCTCACATCCACTTTCATTCACATTACTCTTTTCAATTCTTTCTATGGTTTTGCTTTCAGTTCTTTTATTCAAAGCATGAGAGCTGGCATTCCCTTTGTCTTCTTGTGTGTCTATGCATTTATTTCAAAATGAATAGATATAAAAATAGATTTAATTGTAGTTTTCTAAATAAATATTGACATGCATACTTAATGTATTCAAAATTATTATAAGCATTACGAAAATAATGTTCACTTCTTAACAGTGTGGTAGTTTTAGAGAATAATGACTTATTGAAAAATGAGTTCATTTGTAACTTCTGCATTTGCCTTTTTCATAATATATTTTATACTTTATTTTAAATTTATAATTATTTCTAATAACAAACTTTCTGAGAATGTCTGACTACATTTTATACAGATACAAATTCTCTATTGTGCACTCAGTTTTATTTTTTCCCTTTTTTATTAGTAAAGACATTAACAATAAAATAGGCTTCCTTGCTCCAGCTGGTAATTTCTCAGTACTAGTAATATATTATTCCTCTTTTTGTGACATCATAATCATCTGTACAGAAGTACCATGTATCTTTGTGTAGAAGCTACTGTTTCTATTAAATTTAATTACCTCCCCCTGTGGTTTTAAATAGAAGTGGCTTCAAAATGAGGGCAGCTTCTATTAAATTTAATTACTTTCTCCTGCTGCTTGCATGGTAAAAGGGAGGTTTCTAAATGAGAGCAGCTTCTAAACTAGAGTATATGGTAACTGTATGCAAGCAGTAAGAAAATTGTATATAAACCACTAGGAAGTCTCTTGAGATTATCTTTGTCTTATTTTAACATTACTTAGCCTTAAAATCATAAAAAATGATCATTAAGATATAAGGAAATACATGCTAAAAATAAATTTTAGTTTTGTAAGTAAAATAAAGGTAAATATACTTTCTTTAAAAATATTAATTGAACTCAAAGATTCAATTTCAGAACTTATGAAACTAGTATTTTTTTCTTAAAATAATCATCAATAAGGATGATGATTTTTATTACTTACACATTTGAAATATCTAGTAAAACTCTTGATTCTGATCAAATGGATTTAAAAAATGTTTCCCTAAAACTTATTTTAGAAGGCATCAAGTCTGGGGAGACTTGAGAAAAATATTCAAAAATATTAATGTGAAGTTAAAAAAAATCAGGCTCAAAAAAATCAGGCTCACTTATAAAACACTGTATTTGAAAATAAGTTAATTATATGCTTTGTATTAGTGTAAAAATGTAAATCACTTAAAATCCTATACCATAATCCTATAAAATCTAATAGAAGATGAAATTTTAAGTACCTCTTTTTAAATTAAATATTAATTAAGAGGAGATACTACTCAGTTAAGCCACCATTGTACAATGTTTATTTTTTTACATACCAGCAGAATTTAGATGAACAATACTTTAATTCAATCAAACAGTTTAGTATAAATATAAAACAAGACACCCCTCAAGCATTTGAAGTAACAAATTAAACATTTACATTTTTTACTGTGCACTGAGGCTTAACATTTATGCAGCTTCAAAACCAAAGTACAGCCTCAAGGGAAGTCTCTCCACTGACAAATTAATACCTTAGAGAACAGAGCTGAATGGTGGCAATGAACTCATTTGTTCCCCCAATAATGAAGAATGACTTTTTCTTTACCACATCTGTGACTGTTGCTATGGTGACCCAGACTTACCTCATTGCTTCTCTTAGAGCTCCTCGCTCACCAAGAGTCGTGTGCTTGATGTCATCAAAATTATTTTCCAGCTTCTCACAATTCTGCAACACATTAAAAAATCACGTTCATCTTTCCAAAATCCCAAGAAAAATTATCTTTATTCAATTATTTAAAAATATAATTGATTATATTGATTGTGGACTTGTGAAAAATATGTACACTAACTGGGTAGGATTCATTTAAATAGTTGAATTCAAAAGCAACAAAATAAAAATGTCTTATGATATGGCTAACAGAGAAGTCTCTTTTAATCATTTTTTTTCTAAATAAGTATAAAGTATGAGTACTGCATAAAAGTAGCAAAACATAGTTTTGTAGAATAAAAATACTTTATAAAATAATCTTAAGTATATCAAGGCCAATTTATATTCAAAAGAGAAAAATCAATAATTTTTAAATGACAATGAGTGGTATATGATAATTATCAAGTTCTAAATCAGTTAGCATTGACAGAGTCCAGGTATAATATATGATAAAACTTCCAAATTTTAATCAAATTTCATAATTACATCTTTATAAAACAATGTAAGTATGTATGTTGGTTACACTTGTGCAAATATATATATATGACCTATTCTTGCATATATATATATATATATATATATATATATCTCCAATTCATGGAATTAAGTGACAGTAATTAAAATTCTTACAAAAACATTGAAATTAATTAAATATATCCTAAGCACAAAAACACTTCATGAATATTTCTATTTTCTATTAAATATAATAGCATGACTGGACTGAGTTTTCTAATAGAAAAAGTTTTAAAATTTTAATACAGTTCTATATAGTTGTATAAATAAAACTGATTTAATCATATACTGACCTAATAAACTGTGAAAACATAAATTATAGGATTAAGTTTTACACCAAAAATGTAACTAGTTAACCATTTGGCACATTAGATTTCACATGGAATTCAGTATTTTTAAGTAATGAAGTAACATCAGTGTTTTAGTTACCTTGATAAACAGAAAACTAAATAATAAAATTTAAATATCGATGTTCTTTAAATTATATATTCTTTTAAATTATAAATAAGTATGCACGGATTTAGAAAATTATAGAACTCAGGTTAAAGACTCTCAATGTGCAAGAATTGATTTCAAATCTATTTGTATCAAATACACTATTTTTACCTTGACCTTTCTTTTTTGTGACTTAGTCAGATCAGGGAAAAGATTTTTTTTTTTTTTTTTGGTACCGGGGATCAAACTTGGGTCCTTGCACCTGCTCAGCAGGCAGCAAAACCACTGAGCTAAATCCCAGGCCCAGGGAAAAGATTTTTTTAAACACATAGTCATGGGCTTTTATTTTGAAAATTACCAAAATTAATCTAAAATAATTTGAATTCTGGATTTAAAGTCCTTTGTTGGATATATACATTTAAAATATCCTATTGCTCTGTCTTGTGTTTTCATTTTTTTATTATGTGTGTTTTCATAAAGAGAATTTCTTATATTTAATGAGGCTCAATTTATCATTTTTTAAATTTAAGATTAGTGCTTAAATATTCTATTAAAATTTTTTGAGAAATTATTCAAAGACATGAATATATTTCTCTGTATTTTCTAGGAATTATATTGTTTTACATTTCACATTTATATGAACGATATAGTTGAGATAACATTGACATATGGGTAAGATAGAAAAATCACATCAAATAAATATTCAATTAAATTAAATTCCTCTTTATTGGAAAGATCATGTATAATTTAGAGTTACAATTTTCCAAAAATTAAATTGCAGTATATGTGTAGTCTATTTATGAAGTCTATTTTGTTCAAATGGTCCATTTTCCATATATGTCCCAGTATCACACTATTTTAACTGCTGATATTCATAATAAATTTCTCCTGCTAATAAATATAAAACAGACAAATAACTCAATGAATATATGGACAACTTATACAAACACTATTTAAAAGAAAATATCCAAATAACCAATGTTTAAAAAGATATTTTTCATCATTAATCAGTAGTAAAATGCAAATTAAAGGAACAATAATATCCCATTACAGATTTTAGAAATGTCTTAAGATAAAGAAGATCATACAATGTTGCCGTAGTTGCTGTAGCAGAGAAATGAAATACTGCTGATAGATAGTTAAATTATCATAACTATTTTATAATGCTATTTGATAGTAAAGTCAATAGTCGAACATTCAGATATACTTCATGACCTAACAGTCCCACAGCTAGGAATGCACTCAAAACAAATATATAATATGCTCACCAAAAGTTATAGACATAAATGTTAATAGTAACACTATTCAAAATACCCCCAAACTGGAAAATAAATAGTTACAAATTACAATGGTGTATATAAATTATAATATATTCATACAGTGGAATACTATAGAGCAATGAGAATGAAGAAGTATTGCTACATAACATGAACACACCTCACATAATACTGAGCAAAAGAAATGACACTCAAAAAAGAACTTACTCAAAATTATTCCACTTATATGAAGTTCAAAAATAGGCAAAGCTCCAAAGTATAATTCAAAATAAATTTAAGACAATTTTATTTTCAATAACATCAAAAATAACAGCATATTTATGAATAAATTCAAAAAAGTAAACATAAATCTTATATACTAAAAGCTACAAAACATCACAAAAAAATAAAGAAAACTTAAATAAATGAAAAGATATACCATGCTCACGGAGTAAAATACAACCTTTTTAAGAAATGCTACTTTCTAAATTGGCCTAAAGTTTACATGTGATTCCTATCAATTTTTTTTTCAGATTTTTGACAAGTTGATCTCAAATTTCATATGAAAACACTGGAGATGTAGAATAGCCAAAACATTCCTGAAAAACAGAATCATGAAATTGAAGGATATGGACTTCCCAGTTTCAAAATTTACTACAAAACTGTAGCAAGCAACATAGTATCCTACTGGCATAAGCATGTAAATACAGACTAGTGGAATAGAACTCAGACTCTGAAAACACACCATTAAACTTATGGGCAATTTAATTTTGGTAAGGGAATGAAGACAACTCAGTTGGAAAAAAAAAAAGTCTTTTCAACAAATGGTGCTGCAACAACTAGACAACCATATGCAAATAAATATAGCCAGACCCGTGCCTCACAATATATAAAATCAGTACAAAGTAGATCATGGGTCTGTGTAATAGATGAAATTTTAAATCATTTAAAAGAAAATATGGGCTAAATTGTGACTGTGGATTAAACACAGATGTCATAATGTTTAAGTAACCAAAAAATGGTAAATTATCATCATCAAAATTTACAAACTTTTGAGTTTCTAAGATGTCTCTAAGAGAGTGAAAAGACAAATAGGAGAATAGAATAGGAAACTAGAATAGAAGACAATATTAGAAAATCATATATCTAATAAGGGACTTTTAATCTGGAATATATAAAGAACTTTCATAGCTCAATAAGAAGGCAATCTAATATTTTAAATTGGCAAAGGTTTTGAACAATTTTCCAAGGAAGATACGAAAATGGCTAAACATTCAGCATCATTAGTTATCAGAGTAAAGAAAATGAAAACCAGAATGAGACATAATTTCCATCCAATGAGATACGTCTAATGAAAAAAGAACAATAGCAAATATTGGTAACAATTCGTACTAATTTGAATCCTAATATATTTTTATAAAAATGTAAAAACGGTGCACCCAACTTGAGAAAACTATCTTGAAATATTAAATATAATCATGATCTCAACTAAGTGAGTATAATCACAGTATAAGTAAAAAATTTATCATATGACCAGCAATGGCACTCTTATTATACTGAGTATAAAGAAATGAAAACATATGTCTACATAAAATTTGTACACAAATGTTTATAGTAGCATTATTCATAAGACACAAAATGGGAAAGTAAAGGAAAGTTAATTAAATGACAAATGAATAATGTGGGTTGATACCACAGTATTATTTGTACCTATAAAAGTCAAAGTTGAAATACATTTTGCAAAACAGATGAGCCTTGAAACATTATGCTAAGTGAAAAATCCAGGTATCAATGGCCACATTTATAATTCCATTAATATGAAATGTCCCACACAGGTAAATCAATAGGAAGTATATTAGTGATGTCAGAGGTTGGAGAGAGTGGGGAATAGGTAGCTACTTGTAATGGTAATGGAATTTCTTTGAGGTAAGAAACAAATGTTCTAAAACTAGTGGCAGTCAGTGCACAACTCTGTGAAAGCACTATAAACTGCCAAATTATATATTATATACATTATTGTATAATCCCACTAAATTGCCAAGTTTCCCAGGCTGGAATTGAATTTGTGATCCTCCTGCCTCAGCCTTTCGTTCCAATTTTAGTATATGTGCTGCCAGAGCGAGTACCCTCAGCTCTTTGAGGGCTAGCATTGTAGGCACATGCTATCACAACCAGCTTGAAGTAATCATTTTTTTAAAGTTATATGCCTACAGATATTTATTGCAGCATTTTCAGGACAGTAAATTTTGGGGAAAATAATAATTTTAAACATTGAAGAAATAGTCAAACAGGTAAATTTAAATCTAAAGTTTGTATAGTCATTATAAATGCTATCTATGTGGACTTTTAACAGGCACACATGGAACCATATAGGTTTTTTTTTAGAGGGATGCTATAAAACTGAAAATGCTATATGACATTACAACTATGGGAAACAAGCAAAGCCAACAGAAACTAGAAGTGATTAGTAACTCACTTATCTCTGAATATTGAATCATATTTCTTTTTACTTCTACTTTTTAGCTTTGTGCAAATTTTCAGTAATGGGTTTATACTTTTTGATTTTAAGATTATTAAAATAAACAATTTTTGTTATTAGAAATGTTTGTATTTTCTGTATTGAAGTTTCTACTTTTGTGAAATATATTACAACAATATAAACTCTAGCAATAAAAAAAATTTATACAAACAGGACTTAATTTATCACATTAAATGTATATTTTACTGATTAATGTTTGTTTCCTTTGATTGTTTCACAAGAAGTTCATGAAATTTTATTTTAATTATTCACAAAATGTTTCCAATCGCTAGATG